GTGAATGCATTTATGTTGGGTATTTCCTCCAGTGGAATTTCTGGGTCCTAGGGTGTGAGTATTTACCTTTAGTTAGTATTGCTAGAGATTTTTTCTGATTGATTAGACCAGTTAACACTCCTACCAGCAGTGAATGAGAGTGGTTTTATGAGATATATTAAATAATCTTGAACATAGTGTAAGAGAGTTGCTTCTTTTCTTTGGAGGCCCACATTTGGTATTATCAGTTTTTAAGATTTTATTTGTACTGGGAGCTGTGTACTGGGAGCTGTGTACTGCTATGCCACATTGGTCTTAAATGGCATTTTCTTGCCATCAGGCTGACTTCTTTTGTGACTACTCATCCAGGTCTTTTGCTCATTTACTCATTTATAGGAGGGTTTTCTGTTTATTTGCTTTCCCTAAAAAAAAGCTGCAGATATGAGTTCCTTGTTGGATATGTGCTTTGCAAGTATCTTCTCCCACTCCTCGGCTTACCTTTTCGCTCTAGCAATGGCGTCTTTTAAATAAAAGATGTTCTTAAATTTAAAATGTGAATTTTAAATTTAAAAAAATCATTAATGTTTTACGATTAGTGCTTTTTTCTTTATTTAAGTATTTCTTGCCTCCCCCAAGATCTTGAGGACTTTTCCTAAGTCACCTTCTAGTGATAAAATTTCCTTTTACATTCCTGTGTTTCCATTAACATTAAAACAAAGACCAGCTCAGAGATTTCCCAACACCCTGAGAGGCCTGTGCCCTGTCTGACAGTCAGGAGCCACTCAAACACCATCCCACGCACCAGGAAGCTGCCTCCGTGCGCCTCATTCATCAAAGGGAATGTCAAGTTCAGAAAGGGGAAGGAAGGCATTCCATAAATCACAGCTATTCCACTTATAGGTAACAATGGAAGCAAAAAGTTCAGGAGGGCTGGGAATTATAACTAGGAGCCTGTCCCTTGCCCCTAGAAATTCCCTGCTCCATTTCCAGCAGGCAGCCACTGCAGGCTGCAAGGACCGGGACCCTGAGCTCCCCTCTGCCAATTTGGTGACAATTGTCCCAGCTCCAGTGCCCTTTTCCTGGTGTGACCCAACAACAACCAAGCAATTAGCATTTGTAGTATAGTTTGGAGTTTTCAAGTCAAACAGGGGGCATAAGGCTATATGAGATCCGTGTTGCACTTGATTTTCAGGTTCTAACTCAGACACTTAATAGCTGCTAAGCTCAGCTTAGTCTCCCTGAGTTTCCGTTTGTTCCTGAGGGGAATGGAATGATGTGCCCATGTCTTATGGTCATTATGAAGATTTATTCTTATGAATTAGTGAAGAAACTTCCAGAGGGCCTGGAGGTTGTTTGCACATTACTCTAATGGCCTCCAAATCACTACCCATTTAGCTATTTCTTATGACTCGACCTTCATATAACAGCTTTCCCTCCAACCTGTCTCCACCCTAGCAGAGTTGGGATATTGGGAGTGGAGTGTTGGGACTGGTGCCCCCGATTCCGGACTCACATGCCATGTTCTGACTGTGCCCTGTAGCTTATGGGTCACAAAGACCTCCTTGGTATTAAAGATGATGCACACACCCAGTTGGCTCAAGTGCTGATGTACACATGGGGTGATTTAGGTGGTAGTAGGGACCACTGCCAAGTGTCTGCAGTGCAGAGGATGCTAGCAGGGGACAGACCTAATGAAGCATGGGGTGGACAAGGTGGGGTGAGGCAGGGCCTCACCCTACTCAACAGAGGTGTTGGGAGAGAGCCCCACTTGCTTTAAGAGAAACTATGTTCATCCTTGATGACTGTCACTCTCTTTTCTCCAAATTGTGACACATCTCAGATCTTAAATAATATATTCCTGAAATGTTTGTTCACACCTTTCTGCTCACCCACATGCTTCTCAGGATTAGAGCCTTTTTCTTCCTAGAAGCAATGGAAACGTGATTTGATGGTAAAAGACATGACTGCTTGTTTTTCTAGATGGTGGGGGAGCTTGCCTGAGGAAGTGGGTGGCACTCCTGGCCCAAATCCTCTGGGGAGCCGGTCCTGGTGCCAGGGAAGGGGCTCTCCCTCAGCCTGGCTGGGAGCTTAGCAGAATACTGACGAGGGCTGAATTGCTGTGAATGAGACTCCCATTTATTTCAAGCATTCTTTAAGCCTAATAATTCTCTCATGGCTTGACATAATAATAGAAATATGTTATAGTTCATCCAAGATTTGTCTTTTACTTTCTGCTTATAGATGTTTAAATTGCCTTGAAACCCCCTTTTTCCTTCTTCATTCTGCTTGATCATTAATGCACCTGTCTTCCTTAGCTTTGTGTCCTGAAGGTTGAAGGAAAGGCCACCTTGTTGAAAGGCAGTGTTGTGATTGGCAGGTCCTTGGCCAAGGACAGATGTTTCTTTGAGAATTTAAACTAAAGGAATCCTTAAGTTCTTGTTCCAAATCTGTGTTGTGTTTGGAGTCCTTGGCTGGCAGGGTCCTCACTTCTTGCTGTCCCCAGGGTTTATCTGCCTGTCTCTGGCACGTTATCCCAGTACACTATCTCAGAAAGGTCTATGCTTATGATGGGAGGGTCATTTTCTGAGTGCTCCTATGTCTAAAATGCCCTTAATTGTCTTGATTGTGGACTGGTAGTTGGTTGGTAATGGAGCCCAGATTCCAGTTCATTTGTTCTCAAGCCTTCGATGCAGGAACTGCAGTGAGGAGTCTTGTTAGTTTGATGACTGTGCTTGGTCCTCTCCCGGAGTCACAGGAGGACCAGCTGGGTCCTCCTGGATTTCTGGTTCTGCAGACATGGAGGTGTCCTTGAAGCCGTTCTTCCTTGCTCTGGATTTGGCGTGGCTGCTCTTGCTCCAGAGAAGCAGGCTTTGTAGCTGTGCTGTTAGCAGCTGTCCCCCACTGTGTCTGGGGCCTGGGGTCCAGAGCGCAGCCCATCTTTGGCTTTGCTGTGTCTAGGCCTGAGGCAAGGCAGGGCATCTGGGTGGGAGGGTGTGTGGAGGAGGCTTCCCTCCTGGCTGCTTGGAAGCAAAGAGGGAGGAAGAAGCAGGGGTCAGACATAGTCCCTAAGGACATACCAGGGACCCACTCCCTTCCACCAGCTCACCTGAAGTTTGTGCCCCTCCTGGTAGGGCATTCAGCCATGAATCCACCACAGGTCAGAGCCCTTGTAATCCTGTTGCTTCCCCAAGGCCCCACACCTCTGAAGTATTTTGTTAACATTTGGGACTAAGGACTTGCCACCTATGTTCACCAGACCCACATATCTCTAGCCTGAGGGTGAAAGGGCACAGCCTAGTAAGGAAGGGGGCTGTGGTGACTAGGTTACTAGGTGATCAGCCTTGGGTGGTTCTGGGTACTTGCTGCATGGTCATCCCTTATTGCACGGCGGCCTCTCTCTGGCTCACTGCATGGCTCCCATTTGCTGCGTGGCCCCATTCCTGTGGCCCCTTCTCTTCCTATATACCTCTCCCCAGGCACATTGCAAGACCCCCATTCACATGTTGCCCCATTCACATCTCCCCCACTCACATCCCCCCAGTCACATCCCCCCTTGCTGCACGACCCTCTCAGAGAAGCTCTTTAGAGCACCAGTGCTCACCGGAAGCTGCCCTGTCTTCTTGCAGTGCCCAGTAGGTGGACAGCCACACCTCACCTGCGGCTCCTGCTCCTCACCATGGCAGGACCTGTCCCTCTGCCTCCCATGCACAGTGCAGATGGCAAATGAACAGTTCCTGGTCCAGGAAGTCTCCTCCCAGCGGGTGTCGGCAGGGCCAGGGAGCCGAGTGGCATCATGTGTCAGCCGGAGCTCTGAGGCCGGCAGGCTTGTCTCTGGTGACCCGCCTCAGCTCTCGGGGCCTGGGTTTCCTTTTCTGAGAACTCAAGGAAGGCCTGGTGGTGTCTGGGGTCCTGGCCGGCAAGTGCCCACGGAAGGCCTGCTGGCTGTCCTCTTGCCAGCCCTGCAGCCCCCTGGGACCAGCAGGCTTTTCCCTGAGGGGAGTCATGCTGGATGTTCAGGTGCCCCACATCTCCTGGGGGCCCTGGGATCCTGGGGCACCTTCTCAGTGGCGACCCACATGACTATTTGCATTTACCCCGTTCGTTTGGAGCTGTCTGACTTTGTAGGGATGGGTTGGTTCACTCCTACTTGGGAGTTTTGTGGGCTTCGCCAAGTCAGGTGCTAAGGTGGAGGCACCACTGGAGACTTGGATTCCAGCACAGTGGCAGGTCTGCAGGTGAGCACACCAGATGCAAGCAGTTGTGTGGGTCACGGCTGAGCAAGAAGTGCCCCGGGATCTCAGGGCACCCCAGGGGATGTGGGGCATCTGTACATCGAGGAGGAGTCCCATTGGAAAAGACCTGCTGGTCTCAGGGGGCTGGAGAGCCTGGCAAGATGACGGCCACCCAGTGCTCTGCAGGTAAGAATGACAGCTCCAACGGGTGAGGCCTGTGGCTCAGCCCCCGCTGCTGTTAGTACTCCCATGTGTAGGGATGATGGGCTGAACTTGGATGATCACCAGGGTCTGCCCAAGCACTGGCATTTTATTCCAGGGGCAAAGGGTACTAGTAGCTGTTTTCAAACTTGTCAGAACAGACGACAATAGAGTCTTTCTATTTTGGCGTCCTCTTCATTAGCATGCACAATGCGGAGGCCAGAGTTACTGAAGCAAAATCAACAACTTCTGATTAATTTGCAGAGCTCAACCATGGGATCCTTCTGAAATTGTTACCCAATGCTGCTGCCTGACTGAGTCACCTTGTGGAAGGGCCCTTAATTGGGAACAGGCTCAGACAGCAGCAGGGACAGCTACAGAGAAGGAATACCAGGGCTGAAGCACCAGAAAGCAGGTGGTGGCAAGAGACAAGAGCGTTGACAGTCGCAGTGACCCTATCTGTCTAGAAACACCGTGTGCTGGCAGCGAGGGCTCAGAGGGAAGGGAAAAGCACATAACCACCTTTAGAAAACCAGGAAGGTTTCTTGCAGCAGCTGGCCTTGTTTATAACGCGCCTTGTTCTTCCAGGTTGCCCGCCTCTTGGTCTGGAGACCCTAAAGATCACAGACTTCCAGCTCCACGCCTCCACGGCGAAGCGCTACGGCCTGGGAGCGCATCGAGGGAGACTCAACATCCAGGTACCAGCCCTTCCGGTGCATTCTGTTTGCAACTCCGATGGCTCCAGTCACAGATGCGGCCAGGGTTCACTGAGCCCACCATGCATGGCATTTCAAATGTGTTAGTCAGCGCTCTCCCGACAAATGTGGCATCGCTGCGTAAATCTCACTGTGCAGAGAGCACGCTGAGATGCAGAGAGGGCGTGTCTTCTTCAAAGATGGCCTTTGGTAGAAGTGAGGTCCCTGGCACCTAGACCAGGTGGGTCTGCCTCCCTCTTGAGCTTGTCCTTCCACAGGCCCTCTGTCTGGGAGGAGCTGGAGCAAAGCGAGACAGGCCTAGGGGCCTGCTTGTGGCTGAGGCGTGGGGCAGGGAGGTGGTGGCACTGCTCCTCCTTGGCTCCCTGCCAGTCTCTATCTCTTCTCATCTCCACTGTGTCCACCTCCTCCAGGCTGTTCAGTGACCTCAAAGGTCCCTCGAGGTCGAATCCTTAGTGCTTCCTGGGGCTGGGTGCATCCCGCCTTTCTTTCTTCCCTGAGGCTCCAGGGCCACTGTGACCTTGGCCCTCCATACTGTCAAGTGTCCCTCTCAAGTGATGGCCCCCACACTCTACACACCACATGGTTCTTGACTCCACACCTTTCCTCAGGTGGGTTCCTCTGCCTGGAACCCCTTTGCCTCTCACAGTAGAAACCCCCGCTGATCCCTGCTGTCCCTGCTCCAACAACTCTTGTGGCCTCTTAAGTCAACCCACATGTATCCCCTCCCAGTGTGGCGGTTGGAGGTCTCACTGGGCGAGGTCAAGGTGTGGGTGGGCCGGTTCCTTCTGGAGGCTCCAGGAGCATGTGTTTCCTTCCCTGTCCCAGCACCCCAAGGCCGACCTGCTCCTGGCTTGCGGCCTTTCTTTCCTGGGAGCCTGCAGGGTGGGCCGAGTCCTTGGGAGCTGCTGTCTCTCTGCTTCTCTCTTCTATTTCACTTTTGAGGACCCTGTCGATTATGCTGGGCCTGTCCAGATGCCCCAGGACCCTCTCCCTCCCCTTCTGCAACCCAGATCCCACCTGTAGTCTCCATTCCTCCTTGCCACGTAGCCTGACATGTGCACGGGACATGGGCCTCTTGGGGGACATGATTTTGCCCACCTCTCTCCGGTGCCGTTCCCCCACCCTGGCTCCCGCTGGTCAGCTCTTCTCAGTATAGCGTCTGATCTGTCCTGCCCCGTGTTGTTCTCTCCTGTTCCACATTTCATTTCTCTTTCCCCGTCCGCTCCGTAACTGTGTGCAGGTCCCAAAGCCTTATGCACAAGTGCCGTCTTGCTCAGGTCCTTCCATCCCTGCTACACTCAGGCTAGTGGCTTCTAAGTGGCAGTGTGGACCCCTAGGTCATTGTAAGTGTGCTGTGCCAGAGGCCCCTTCTCAGGGAGTGCAGGGGCTCAGGGTTTTCTAAGACTTGAGCCCATCCAGATTGGTTTAGAAATACTCTTTTTTTAAAAAAAAAAAACTGTGAAGAAACGTTTGGTTATATACAACTGGAAACTACAAAAAAAATATAATTAAATTAAAATAAAAACAACAACAACAAAAACTCCTGTATTTTACACAGGAACTCTGAAAAGAGTTTGACCAGAAGTTCCCGCTGTCAATCCCCAGGCACCTGGGGTGCCTCCAAAGGGGAACCAGAGTCAGACCCAAGGGGTTAGACCCACATGGGAGCGTGGGGCTGTTTTGTGTATCGACAAGGGGGGCTCATCTGATGCCTTCGATGCTTTCTCTACAAATGAAGTTATCCTTTAAATAAAAGAGTCTATGTTTATCCATGCTGTCTGCCATCAATGGCAAGGCCCTGTTGACCTTAACTTGTGGGCCTGGAGTGAGAAGGTGGGGTGCTGAGTCCTTCCAGGTGGGAAGGACTGTCCACCAGCAGGCTGGATGGGCAGAGCATGGGAGCAAGCGTGCTGGGGTCAGACCTGCTATGTTTGAGCTTGGCCCGGATGTTCCTCCATGTCGAGACCCTTGGAATGATCACCTCATGTCTCTGAGCCTCAGTTGCCTCATCAGAAAAATGAGCCTCCTGAGCGTCCACAGGGTTGATTGAGCAGGGAAACTGGTGATGACAATTCTGAAGCATTTGCTGGGTTACCTCGTTCCTCTGCTGAACACCACTGGTGGCTCCCTGCTATTCTTTCAACAAACTCCCCGTTAGTCCCTGGGTGCCCGAGCCCTCTGGGTCTCCCTGCGTGTGTACCCCTCTCTGAATGTTTCTTTATGGTGTTATCTGAGCCATCCTCCTTGAGAGGGGCCTGGTCTTCAGCTCCTCTCTCCCCAGGTGCCCCAAAATAGTCCCTGCAGCACACACGGAGCACAGAGAATGTGGCCGAGAGCTGGCTGACATGGACAGAGTGCCCATGGCCTGCTTCACTGGGCTGTGCAGCAGGCCCCTGGTGGGTGTGTCCTGTCCTCACTTCCTGGCCATCTTACCTCCTCCTTTGTCCTTTACCCATGGGAGACAGAGCGCAGGGAGCAACCAGGCTCCCCACCATGACTGAGTCAGCAGAGCCCACTCCCCTGCCCTCCGTCAGGGTGGATGGAAGTCACATTTGTCTTTATGGGGATTTTTCTCTTCAGTGGTAGATTCTTTACCCTGATGTCCCCTCACAAGAATATCTCGAGACCTGCTCTTAGAGTGTGAATGTGCTGCTTTAATGGCCAGGGCGAGGCCACCCATCCCTCAGCCTCTGGACACCACCTGTGCTACCTGGTGTTGACCCCACAGTGTGGAGATGGGCCTGCAGCAGGCTCCGATTCCAACCCCCACAGCAAGTAGACGAGGTCGGGCCCCCGCTGGGGTTTGTACCTCCCCGTCAGCTCCATAAGCTTCGTGATTCCGCTGCCGCAGGTGCACAATTAAAGTCAATCCAAAAATACTTCTCCCCACACATAACGGTTTCAAATGCAACTTAAAAATAACTACATCTTGTCTCACATATGAGTATTTTGTAGGCGTGTCAAGCTAATGGGATTTTAAGTGCGAGAAACAGCAAGGTGTCAGAATTAGAAGTCATATTTTAAATACATATTCTGTAGCGCTCCTGGGACGTGAGCATGTTGAGTGCAGCCCTGCACGGGCCCAGGGCTCTCTGGGCACACAGTGGCCATAGTCCAGGCTGGAGCACACAGAATCACAGGCTGGGAGGCTCCAGTTAGCTGAGTGGCTTTAGTGAGATGCCCACCTCCTTGGAGACTCTGTCACCATCAGGAAAGCACAGGTCCCACCTCTGACTCTGTCCTGGTATTGTGAGGACAAAGAGGAGTAAAGAAGGAGATTTGTCCCCCAGAGGCCTTGTTCATACTCTCAGGGGACCCTTGCAGAGTGCCTCCTCTGGCCAGGCACAGAAAGCCCCTGCTGACTGCCCACCTTCCAGAGGCTTTGATCGTGACAGGGAGACCCTGAGAGGTGTCCACACTGTGCTCAGTACCTGGCTTCATTTATTTCTCAACAGGAGGGACAAGGGTCATTATTATTTCCTCTGACTTACGTAAACCAGACAGGGTGCTCAAGTGACTCAGCTAGGATTTCCCAGGAGGGGTAGATTATGAATCCCAGCAGCTTGAAACCTCCATTTGTTGCCCTGACAGTGCCATAAAGCTGCTTCCTACGGTGGCAGCTGGGGTGTTCCAGCTACAACATCTGGAATTATGGCTTGGCTGTGTTCCTCTCTTTTCTGACAGGGAGCGCATGTAGATGTACTCGTCTGTCCCCTGGCCAGGTGATGAGCCCCTTGCCAATCATGTGCATCCTGCTTTCTTGGGTCTTCCTGTACAGTGTCCATGCAGTGCCTGCACACGTGCTTCACACGGGCTTCGGGACAGTTGCTGCCGTGCATATGGGTTCCATAGCAACAGTGGAGCTGTCCAGAAGGAGGCAGGTCAGCTGTCATTGACACACTTCCTTCTGTGATTGGCAGACGCAGGAATGATGTCATCATGACACACACAAGTAGCATTGGTTCATGTGTGATTTTTGCTACTATAGCCATCTTTTGATGTTGTGGGGGTTTGGTTCCAGCCCCCCACCCCTTGGATTCCAAAATCCATAGCTACTCAAGTCCCTTATGTAAAATAATGGCTGTGTTTGCATGCAACCCACCACATCCTCCCATATATTTTAAACCCTCTCTAGATGACTTGCAATACCCATTACAGTGTAAATGCAGGCTCCATGATTGTTATTCTGCATTGTTTAAGGAGTAATGATAAGAAACATGTACGTGTTCAGCACAAACACAAATCCTGATTCGGAAGGGTTTTGATTCATGGCTGGTGGAATCGGCCGGAGGGCCCAGTGTGCAGTAATGTTGGTGGGACCAAGTCCCAGCCCCTGACCATGGAGTGCACCAGCCTGGGCGAGTGCAGAGTCTGCAGGGAACAAGGTCCTGCAGGGTCCTCTCACCTCCTGTTCCTCTGACTCAGAGTGGCCATGCGCTGCCTTGTGTTCCGTTCCTTTGTGAGCGTTGTCCTTGTCCCTGCAGCTCATCAGCTCCACTCTGCCTTCTGCCTCTTCCTCACCTGCCTGTGCGGTTTGTTTGCTTCTCTAAAGCCGAATCCTATCATGATTGCTGCATTCAACCTGTCTGAACTGTGCTAATATTGTTGGAATTGATTGTTTTTGAGTCTTCTGATTATGGAGCTGAGTGGATTTTTGGAAGTTCTGGCTATTACCTGGGTTTCTCCATGAACTTGATTTTTGTGGTGCAAGATATTGCAGACTGTGACCTTTTACTGAAAAGCATCTGCCACGGTGTAGCAGAAGCACCTCCCTCTTTTGCCCTCATTTTAAGCAGAGGACTTTGAAAGAATCCTCCTAGCTCAGTTACAGCTTCCTTTTTTCCAAGTGGACTTTTACTTGTGTTAATTTAATAATATAAGCTCAGAGAGGACACCAACGTCTTGTGCTCAGGACAAGATAGATTTTCCAGGAATTTCAGGAGAGAGTCAGGCAGGCAGGAAAGTGAAGGCTGTCCTCTCCC